CCATTTTGTTTTAATGAATGGGCTTCTAGACCCATATCTCCGACTTGTTTTGACTGATTATGTTCAAATTTTAAATATTCATTATACATCATGTCATAGATAGACAGATATATTGGTTTGACGATCCTATTCAAAATGGCCAAATGGTGGTCATTTTTGTGCTAAAAAATCATCAAATATCAAGCATTTCTGGCATTTATGGATGGATTTCGTTCAAACTTGTTACATACATTAGACATTACAGGTTCCTGATGCACGTCATTTTATTTTTCAGATTGGATTCAAAATGGCTGACTGGTGGCCAGTTTGTTTTAATGATTGGGCTTCTAGAGCCATATCTCTTAAATGCTTTGACTGATTATATTCAAATTTTATATATTCGTTATTCATCATGTTATATATATACTTGTATTCAAAATGGCTGATTTTGAATGCTGTTCCAGAGCAATATCTCTCAATATGGACAAGTAGTTGTTTGACGATCAGATACAAATGTCAATCATTTTAATGTTAAAAAATCATATTCCTGACATGGTTATATTCCAGCTATATTACTATAAACAAAACTATATATCTTAAATTTGATAACTAACGGGGACTGTGCCATGCATGGCTTGTTATTTTAAATGTTGTGTTCCTTGTTTCATGATCTACTGTAAAATACTTTATTTAGCTGGAATTTATTTTCATGAGTTGAATGTAAAATATAGGAAAAAAGGTATATTCACTGGACATTATTTTCACTGAATCATTCCTTCAGCGAAATTTAATTTCAAGCAAAAATAAAGTATTTTACAGTATGTTTCAGCCCATCAGAGGAGAAGGGCTTTCAACTTTATCCAATAATATTATTTAGTAGAATTGCATTTGCAAAATTGTTTTAATTTTTACTAGCCCTGACAGGGTGTATGGATAGACAGTAATTTCTAAACTTACAATAAATGCAATGTCTGTATGTGTTTCTCCTACAGTATTGTCTATATATATCAGTTTTAGTATTGCATTGTAGTATACAAAATGTTTCTTGTGAAGGTGGTTAATACCAGTATATGGCCACACAATGCTTCTTTAAATTGCTTGCCTGTTTAGTTGTAAATTAGAAACAAATTATTTTTTAAAAAAGCCTTACCGAAATCTGCACTGTGTGTGGCTAGTATTTGATTTTAATATTGAAATCTCCAAATATGACAATTTTGTATTTTTCAGTTGCATATTTACTGTTTAGTGAGAGAACCACCAGATGCCAGTTGCATGGAACGTTTACAAACGTCTCTACAGGGGTTTGGTATCTTACCATCGTCTAACGAGTGTACTGAAGAACAACAAGAAATCATCAACAGATTTAACAAACGAGTCACTGCAATTAAAGGTACATTTTAGCGTATTTGGTACTTTTGTAGCATCTACTCTGTGTTTAATTTTTAAATAGGCAGTGTGGATACTTTGGGTATTATTTTAAATATTTTGTTTTCAAATTAAAAACATGGTATACTTTACTATGAAGAGAAACTGTTTGGCTGTGAACATCATATTCGATCAATACAATGAATGTTCCAGTGCACATTCTGTTTTCAATTTTACGATAAATCACACTAAATTCTTCCTATGATTTACACATACTCATGGTTATTCATATTGCCACCTCAATAATGTTATTATATCGCACTCACAAAAAATAACTATTTCTCTCAACACTGCTGCACCAGTTGAAAGATAGTATAATTAAGCATTAATGTGTTCATTCATTTGTTCATTTTTTCATTCATTCATTCATTCATTCATTCATTTCTACTCAACTTTAGGTTTAATGTTGATGGTGTTACTATTCTCATTGAAGGAAAAATATTGCGATTACCTGTGATCTATGTTGATCTCATTCAATCATCATCTTCACATCATTAGTGAATATTAATCTATTTTCCAATAATAAAAACCTTCAATTTTTCCTATATTGTTCTTTTGATATATACTGTACACCGCTTAATTTTCGCTAGGAATTTATGCAATTTGATGTTTTTATGGCTTTGTGAAAATTGTTTTTTACAAAAGTCGCTGTGTCATAAAACTACAAGTTGTGAGTTGTGAAATTCACTAATATTTGTTTCTCATGAGATTTAAGCAGTCTACAGTAGTTTTAGTGCATGTATCTTACTCAGTATTGTCTGACTCTTATCAGGTGACGTGTCTTTATTAAGATTGGGTATGAATGAAGAGGATTTCACTTATTTAACTTATGAAGTATGTGTATTATTTCTGGAATGTTTCTACCTCAAAATCACATTCAAACGCTGCACATCATATCTATTATGATATACAGATCTACATCAGGCTTTTCTTGTTTACCAAAAACCAGAAAATGTTTTAAATCACCATTTGGTGCTTGTTCCTTTTCCAATCACCATAAGTTGAATATCACACGCAGGTGCTGCTTTGATTTCAACCAATCACCAGAAGTTGTTTTGTGAGTTGAAGATTGCCACTTGTTGCTTGTTTCTTTTCTACCAATCACCAGGAGTTTAAGATTGCCATCTGTTTATTTCTGGTTTATTTTTTATACCAATCACCAGAAGATGGGATTACCACTAGGTTTCTTTTCCAACAATTACCTTGAGTTGAAGGTTTCCATAGGTGATAATTTGTTCAACCAATCACTCTGAGTTGAAGTTTTCCACTGGGTGCTGTTTCCTTTTCCACCAATCACGATTAGTTGAAGATTGCCACCAGATGTG